AATTATGCTTCCATTGAATACTTTTTAATCAATCTTCCAGAATCACTAACAACTAATCCTAAAAACCTTATGATCGCTCTGAGTGAAAGTGAAAATATTGAATATTTTGAAAATCTAACAATCCAAACAATAATTAAATTCAAATGGAATCAATACACCAAGAGCTTCTTCTAAAAATAGTTTTTCATCTTCTTAATCTTTATAGCTTTTTTCATTTTTGAAATTTACTACTCTATCAGTAAGGGTAAGACATAAGCTAAACCATCAAATGAGGATTTCTAGAAAGGTATTTCATCTTATCCAGATACAAGAAATCTTGCAATAATGATTATTAACAAATGCATGTGCTCCTCAGTCTTACTTTACTTTTTTTAATATGAAGTAAGATAAGCAACTAAATAAGAAGGATATATCAAAGAGCTCTGGAATCTCTTTGATTTTTCATTGATCGCCTCTTATGCTGTACTTAACATTGTTGAATTTGCATCAGGAGATAAAAGCGCAATAATTATTATGGATATCATTGTAGTGCTATTGACATTCTTAAAATTAAATTTCTTCTTGAGAATTTATGATGGATTTAGCTTTTTAGTATCCATGATGAGTAGCGTCTTCAGAGATATTCAATACTTCATTCTGTTCTTCCTGATTTTCATATTCCAATTCGGCATTATATTTGTAATTCTTTTTAGTGCTGAGAGAATCGAAGAGTATGACGGTATTGGTATAGTAGGTTACTTCCTCATGATATTCAGAATCTCATCTGGTGATTTTGCTGTTGAAAATTATAAAGATTAAGAATCAACTTTTATGATTTCCCTTTCTTGGACAATTTGGTTAATTGCAGTGTTGATTTTGAACATTGTTTTTATGAACTTTATTATTGCAGTTATCTCAGAGTCTTATGAGAAAGTCATGCAGAAACTAGTAGCCTAATCTTACAAGGTCAAAGCCAACATGATAGTGGAAAGAGAACTTCTATTGACACCTCAAAATGAAGAGGAAAGAAGATTTTATTTCCCAGAGTATTTAATTCTTTGAAGACCTATTGAGACCAATGAAGGGGATTCAGGTAATTAACTTTAATTTAACATTAAACATAGGTGAATGGTAAGGCTTTATTAAAGATTTAAAGTACACGATAAGAACTTAAGCTTAAAAGTCTAGAAATGAAGTCATTCAAAATGTGATTCCTCTCTAAAACAAGATAGAATTATTAGATAGAAATTCTTCAACTTAACAGGATAGCTTGAGATAAGATGTCGACAAGCTCAATGTAAAGATGGAGGAAATTAAAACTATTATATAAACTCCCTCATCTGACAAAGATGAGATTAAAAACCTTAATTAAAAGGTGGAGTCTCTTTCTGTCAAACTCCAAGGATGTGAAACTGCATTAGAACAACTCAATGCAAATATCATGAAACTCCTTGAGAAATGACAGCTAACTTAACTTTATTAACTTCAACTTATTACAACTTATAATTGATGATTAAACTTATCATCAAGCTTGAAAACTAATTTTAATTTCATGAACTTTAATTACCTCTCATTTCTGCTTTAATTCACCATCTAGGGGTTTTGGGGTTTTGGGG